ATATATCACTTTGAAGACTAAGGTTTGTTTAACCCAAGCCAGGGGTGTTTTCAATTGCCTCATATGCATGTGAAAGCTGGACAACGCATAAGGAAGACCAAAGAAGAGTTGATGCTTTTGAGATGTGGTGTTGGCAAAAAATACTGAAAATACCGTGGACGGCCAGAAGAACAAATAAATCTGTTCTGGAAGAAGTGCAGCCAGGATGTTCCTTGGAAGTGAGAATGGCCAGACTTTGTCTCACCTGCTTTGGCCATGTTGTCAGAAGGGACCATTCCTTGGAGAAGGATATCATGCTTGGTAAAGTGGAGGTCAGTGAAAAAGGGAAGACCCTCAATGAGATGGATTGACACAGTGAATGCAATGATGGGCTCAAGCACAGCAAAGGTTGTTGAGGGTGGTACCGGACTGAGCTGTGTTTCATTCTATCATAATGGGGTCTCCATGAGTTGAAGCCAACTCGCCAGTACCTGACAACAACAAGTGAATACATATGAGCAGTAAAGAGTAGAATTCATCCAACCTGCATGCTGGGGGAAATCAAAACCTCAGTTCAAACATGGGATCTTTTGAAACATCATGTCATCTGATGAACTGATTTCTTCTAAAATGGAGTTTTTAGATCACTCAAGGAGTGTTTTAGCAGACTGCCTAAGGAAATCCTTTCGGGCAACTGGACACTCATAAGATCCTTAAAGAAAGAACATCTTCCATTTTGAATGCTTATCTGCTTACTCTTCCTACTCAAGGAAATGGTTCTGCCTTCATCAGTCATTAGCACTAACTCTCCATGAAGGAGGGGCCCTGGTGGCACAGTGGTTAAGTGCTCAGCAGCTAACTGAAAGGTCGGCAGTTTGAAACCATGATCTGTACCATGGGAGAAAGATGTGGCAGTCTGCTTCTATAAAGATTTACAGCCTTAGAAACCCTATAGAGCAGTTCTCTGTCATATAGTGTTACTATGTGTCAGAATTGACTCAATGGCAATGAGTTTGGTTTCATTGGGTTCTTCACGAAAGAGTCCTAGTAACACAGTGGTTAAGCATTCAGCTACTAACCAAGAGGTTGGTCACCATAGCAATAGGAGAGAACAAGCAGCTACAAAGTAGAGAGGCTTGGTGATCTTCTCTGGAATAGTCCTACTCTATCCTATGGGCTCGTTGTGAGTCAGAAGTGACTGGACAGCACCTAACAACCAGAGCTCTCTGTGAGAAGGAACATTGTTAGTGGAACTTCACAACTAAATTTCCCAATCTTATTGACCATGCTTGTATTAATGGTTCCCTTATCTTCCTAACCATATCTTCCTAACTGCCCTGTAGGGCAGTTCTATTCTGTCATCTGGGGTCATTATAGGTTAAAAATTGACTCTATGGCACCTAACAACAACAGCTTTCCATGAGATGGAATGTCATAGCTAAATTTCCAAATCTCACTGACTATGCTTGTACTGCTGACTCTCCCATCTTCCCAACCACATCTAAAAAATTCTCTTCTTGGAACTGGAGTTTAAAAATAATCTCAATGGGGAAATTTGGCAAGATGG